CCCCAAAACCCCAAAACCCCAAAACCCCAAAACCCCAAAACCCCAGGTGTCTGGGTAAGCATTGAATGAAGTTGATTCAAGTTTATAAACCTTTATTACCCTATCATTAGAAGTTTTGTTGTTCTGGCATCACTGCTTTTGTCGGATGAGTCAGTGAATTATCCATTTGCTCTTTGAACAGCTCTTTAAGATCTCTTTTCTTCTTCTGCTGGTGTGCTCAGGCTAGGTCGAACATCGAGTAGGATATGCTCGGTAGGGTAGGGAGCATTTGGAGAGGAGTGCTATGAGTCTCAGGAGTATTATTTAGTCGCAAGCTTTAGGTGATTCATTGAGAGTGCTGGCATGTTCTCTTGGTTTTTGGTGCAAAGCTCTGGGGTATACTCATTTTCTATAGTTTTGTTAGGAGTCAATTCTGCAAGATCTTGAAATAACACCGGGTGCATGGTATATGTATTGGTTAATAGATTTGTCAAATTATTAAAGATGATGGATGATTTTATGTTAAATATCAATTTAAAGTTGGATCTTTGCATTTAAGAGAAAGGCAAGTTATTAGAAAGACCTAAGTTTATGGCTTCAAATAGATTATTAGCTTCAGTCATTCCGATTGAAGAATGAAAAATTTCTCTGAATAATCATTAAATGCTTACTCTTAGCTTTAACAGCATTTTGGCTAGGCTTGTTCTTGATGAGAGTATCCATCTTTTCAAGATCATCGGTGATTGCTTTGATTTCACATTGTCGACACAATCACTTCTCTTGTCACACCATGCATGGCTCACTTTGCTTGGTACGCTTGAGTTCGAAAGCTTTTCTTTTTAGGAAAATGTTATATTTGCGTGAACATTGAAATCAAAAGCTTTCTTCGCAATCAGGTGTAGGACACTGGTATAAATCTCTACATGAAAAGGGCTTTTCACAATGATGACAGCGTAAAGTACTACAGTATGCTTCATCGACTATCTTCTTTGTGGCTCTATTGGATCTTCTATTTGGGAGGATTTGTGAACCCTCTCCTCCTTTTTGAGAAGAATAAGGTGATGAAAACCTGTTTTTAGGGTAAGGCGATGAACTCTTTGTTTCCATTAACAAAATTTAATTATTTTCAATTAAAGGTTGTGACCGAGGGGTTTTGGGGTTTTGGGGTTTTGGGGTTTTGGGG